ATAGCAATATGGCATGGGAGGGAGGGGATGAAGAATTTGGGGTTAAAACAAAAACTTGGGGCTGGAGATATGGTTCAGCAATTAAGAGCACTAGCACTGGCTACTCTTACAAGAGGACCTGTGTTTGGTTCCCAGACCCACATGGTGGCTAACAACTGTTCCTAACTCCAGTTCCAGAGAATCCTGACACTCTCTTCTGACCTCCGCAGGCATTGCTCAACATAGATGTACTTACATACATGTACATACATACATCTTTAGGTCTTAAGTATAGCTCTGTGTTAAGAGCACTAGCACTGGCTACTCTTACAAGAGGACCTGTGTTTGGTTCCCAGACCCACATGGTGGCTAACAACTGTTCCTAACTCCAGTTCCAGAGAATCCTGACACTCTCTTCTGACCTCCGCAGGCATTGCTCAACATAGATGTACTTACATACATGTACATACATACATCTTTAGGTCTTAAGTATAGCTCTGTGTTATAGCACCTGGGTATGTGGCCCTGGGTTCTACTCAACACCAACAAAACAAGATATCTTTGTTCAAGCACAATTATAAACTTTTCAAAGAGTATACACATCATCAAAGAAAAAATATTATACTCAGGGTGTTGAAGAGGGCTCCACAGTTAAGAGCACTGGTTGCTTTTGCAGAGGATTCAGGTTCAAGTCCCAGCACCCACATGACTGCTAACAACTATATATAACTCCAATTCCAGGGGATCCTAAACCCTTTTCCAACCTCTGCAGGCACTGCACAACATGAGTGCACCTACATACATGCAGGCAATACACTCATACACATAAACTAAAAATAACAAAATATTCTTTAAACACTATATTCAGCTGGGTGTGGTGGTTCACGCCTTTAATCCCAGCACTTGGGAGGCAGAGGCAGGCGGATCTCTGTGAGTTCAAGGCCAGCCTGGTCTACATAGTGAGTTCTAGGACAGCTGGGGCTACAGAGAGACCCTGTCTCAAAAAGACAATATCAATCAATCAATCAATCAAATCAATCAATCAATCAATCAATCAATCAATACTATATTCTAGTTGCTTGCTAATCTCCCCATTAGTCTGGTAGCAATTTTACAAATAACTTTACTAGCTAGTTCAGTAGTTGCCTAAGGGTCACACTACATTTTCAAAGTGTCAAGTACATAACAGATGTTTAGTACATCTACGCTAAATGAAAATAGATACCTCTGTTTTTGTCTTTACTTTGGATGGTGTGGACACTGTAGAAGATGTTTTTAATTCATCTTTTAGTTGTGAGATCTTTTCTCCAAGTTCTTTCAAGGTCTTCATTATATTTGCTCTTTCTTCTGGTTTCATATTTTTGTTTTTTTCTAGCTTAGATATCAGCATCTATAAAATAATCAGAAAAAAGTAAAACTATACTTAGTAAATTTAAGAATTAAAATTTCACTATTATGGAGCAGGAGAAATGGCTCAGTGGTTAAGAGCACTGACTGCTCTTGCAGAGGTCTCAGTTTCTGTTCCCAGCACCCACATGCCAGCCAATTCTAGGGGATCTGATGCCTTCTTCTGACCATTTTAGGGCACTGCACAACAAGGGTGCACTTAGACACATGCAGGCAATACTCATACACATAAAATAAAAATAATAATTTTTAAAAGCTTTAATAGTGTAACTTCATAATTCAATCCTACACAACATTCTAGCATGCAAATAATGAGTTCTTATCCTACCTTTTGGCATTCTATCTGTTTTTCTAACATTTCTTGCCTCTTTTTCCTCATATCTTGTTGTAACTTCATTGCTTCCTGTATAAAGTAAGTAAAAACAAAATCAGTAATGAATAACAAAATTTACCAATGATGCTCAAGCTAATATATTCTCAACTCATTTCTTCTGGGCCATCCTTTTCAAAAAAAATTTTTCCACCTAACCAAAAACAACTGAAATCAGCAGCTGGGGAGTGGGATACACGTGTTTATAAATCCAGGACTCAGACACTAAGGCAGAAGATCACGAACATAAGTCAATCTGGGCTACACAGTTGAGAATCTTATCTTAACAAACCCTGATTCCAGAAACGAAACCTTTGAACATATTTTCCAACAATTCCAGTATCACAGTGTAAACATTTATAGCTATAATTTAAATCTTTAAAGAAAAGCAAGCTGCTTCCAGTTGCCAGTGTAATAGGCCAAATCCTTATTTTTGAAGCCTAAATTTTAAAAATACTACCAGTTAGAAATTATCACTACCTATATATTTTTGCAAGGAAAAATTTGTTTCTACTCTCTTGAGAATTAAATCTCTCTACTAAGACAGTACAAATAAGTATCTATTTTACTGGAAAATCCTTATGTAAACAGCTTAAATCTCCTATGATGATGTATCTCAAAACTATATCATACGAATATGTTATACTCATGTCACACCATATCTGATTTATAAAGAAAAAAGGTGGGCATGATGGTGCACTTTAATCCCAATATTCAGGAGGCAGAGGCAGGTGGGTCTCTGTGAGATCGAGGCCAGCCTCATCTACATAGCAAGTTCCAGGCCAGATGGGGCTACAGGGAGATGCTGTCTCAAAAAAAAAAAAAAAAAAAAAATGTGTTTTGGGGGCCCAGGAATGTAACTCGGTACAGTGTTTACCTAGCATTCACAAAACCCTGATTACAATCCCCAGGGCTGTATAAATCAGAC